CATTAAGCTGGAGACAATTTTAGCGAAGCAGAGATTACCATCTGGATTTCCAATCACTTATATTTACGAGAATTCAAGTACTGTTGATATACTGAAATTTGAGCAGCTTCAAGTTGATTCCTAAGGAATAAGAACTTTCGTAGTGATACCATTTGACTTGTTTGTTTGAGAGTTTAGGTTTTGTAACCCCGAGTGTATACTACCGTTTGTGAAAGTGTGATGTACACATATATCCACTATATATGTATAAATAGCCTCTCTAGTATGTACTTGTAATACTTATGGATTTAAATATTATTATAGTGTATTTAAATACTGCTAAATATTTAGTGTGCTACATAGTCAGCTGTCAGCCAAGTGCCAGTGCGCTCAGGCCGCAGTCATCAACATTTATTTATATTGTTATCAGTTGTCAATGTTATATGTAAAAATGCACTACAATATCTCATAAATCATGTGTAATTTTGAGAAGGTCAAATAATATAGGGATTGTACAGTCATAAATTTGACAACGGCTTATGAATGAAATGCCAGTCAGAGTCAAGCTGACGCTCGACAGTCGAACTTCAAAACTTTACTGTTCAGGCTCGTGCCCAGTAAACATATCAGAAGGCCAAAACACCCCTGATCTCCCCCCTTCATCCCACAATACGACTTTCTATGACGACGACAGTCCAAGAAACACATCCGTGTAACTTATTCCTTCTTTTGAAACTAAAGTTCAGGCATCAATCCAATAAAAATAATCCAAAAGAAATAATTCCATGGTATCATAGACGCTGCCTATCTTTATGTAATGAATCGTTTCCCTGTGCCAAAACTATCAGTTGAAGGGCATTTCGCTTCGAAACAGTCGTCGATGCTGTATACTACCATGAGGGCTACTGCGCATACACTGTCGTTTGATAGATACGATTCAAGCCGGGAGGTGAAGCAGAAACCAAAGAACTCGGTGATGTACAATAAACTCCTATTGAAAATATCACCGTAGCGAATTAGAACGCCTATGTTACCAAGTGTTGTAGAAAACGTACCAGCAAGTGGTAGAGCAATTGCATCCAAGAATCTCTCTAATCCGTGTTTTATTGAAGATCATCTATCAATAAATGAAAAAAAAATGTATTTTAAACGAGTTGAATCCCAGGCGAATATTCACTGATGGTCATGTGGTTTGTTATTATAAGCTATAAATGCTACAAAGTGCACCACTCTGTCAGAGGACCTGCAGATACCATCAGCATATACACAGCTTTATGTGGTTTGTTATTATAAGCTATACATGCTACAAAGTGCACCACTCTGTCAGAGGACCTGCAGATACCATCAGTATATACACAGCTTTATTATTCTAATTATTAAAACTACTAGCGTTAGGTCTTGAAGTTTTTAAATATGTTAAGACAACACAGCTTATTGCCTTCCAATTGTGCTGTCGACATGCGAACGCGCTTCCCATTGTTGTCTGATTGACTAGCTTTCTGAAAATTGGCATCGAATCTGCTTTCGACTCAATTTTGCCCATTTCTGCAACCCAAATGAGACGCACAGTACGTCTGTTAGTCATCTTTCGCATGCATGCCAAAACACCGAATCGAAACCCCCGAGAGCCTATGGTACAATATAAGTGATGCAAGTGCAGTTAAAGGTAGTACTCACCGGGTCTCATTGCAAGCCAAAGCCCACCAGCCTAAACATATGCAACAACGTCTATACCTCTATACCCCGAAGTGAGTTAGATATTCCAATTAGTTGCAACCACACACGGTCACAGTTTCAAATAGAGACACAACATACTCTGATGTTCCATAGCAACCCTTATCTGATTTGGGCAAAAACGGCGACACCGCCACTTCTGCACTGGTTGGCGATATCTCCGTATCAACTGACGACGACTGTTCGTTCATTTGGACTACGCGTGTTCCTGAATTCGGGACGATTCGGTCTCTCGAGTCAATTGCGAGGACCATGCCACCCTCAGTCGATGCGTGCACAGGCACTCTGTGGCCTGTTATTGGCTTGCCAGGTGTGTGTATAGGGTAATCTGTTGTTTGTTTACCAGGTGTGTGTGTAGTGTCACATGTTATTTGTTTACCAGGTGTGTGTGTAGTGTCATATCTAAGCGGGTGCTGTTCAGAGACAGGTGAGTGATGGGATTCATACTCCTTCGTGTCTGCACGTGCTGCGCCCGTGTCCCCTAAGCTCGTCAGTGGCACAAACGGCGATCCACTGCGCATTAGAGTCGACGAATTCTCCGCCTCAATGTCCGTAGCAGGAATAGAATCACTAGTAAACAAGGTAGAAGAAATAAACTCTGTTACTACCAATAAACCCTGCTACTACACGTTTTCCGAAATCATTTTGAAATGTCAAATGCGCGTATGCGTGCACCACTTGCGTCACGTAATGGCCTGTTGATGGCGACCAAACTATCTACAACAGAAGTTAATCTATGACAACAAGTACCGAGAAACTATTTCTATCGTTGCCCTACGAAGAGTCACGAATAATTCCAAGGCTCTGCTTTGTTCCGCTATCAAAATAATAATGGAGTATGTGTGATATTGAATATCATAAGGTGTCTGCATGCGTTGAGGCTTGGATACCTTGCCCAGGCTACGAGCCTCAGACTGAGTGGCCGGCAAATACTGAAATACACGCGCGCACTACTAAGTACTATGGTCACCCAACTATTGCAGCCGGTGTTCAATAACCCATCACCCTCACACTGTGAAACAGTGAAGAACGATCTCGAGACTCCGTGAGACTTCTGTGTAGTCGAGAACGCATACACAGACGCACACCCATACAGTGAAAGAACCCCATGGCCACCACAGTGTCTGACTGACAGCGATGCACCACGTTATCAACAA